TAACTTGATGTCCAAGGATAATCTGATTGTACCAATTTTAGAAGAGGAAGTGCAGAATTCAGTTTCTGGTGAAAGTGAGGCATGAGGAATATCGGGGACTGAAATGAACACATAATTAACATTGTGTACTGTATATATAATTTTAGAAATTTCAATCATGTATCCTTAGAGCTTTGTTTAGTATACTTTTTGTATGCTGTGTGCGTTGCCTCTTAATATGGGATATGGTTTTAAGTTATTCATGAGCTGTATATTCAATGTGGCACTCATGGTTTTTAAATAAAATTAGAATTATCTGTTTATACTGCCTGTTAATAAATGAATTTACAGTTCTGTAAAATTGCTGCTAAACAATCATTGGATCTTAGTCTTCAAACAATGTCCAGTTTAAATCTGAGCTTTTCATTCTAATGAAGTTGGAACTTTAGCCTTAGTTTGACACTTCAGAAGCTTGCAAGTCCATTTCATTTCTTTCTAACTTTTGTATTTTATGGAAACTATCCTTATTTAGTTTTGCTTTTGGGTGTATGCATATATAGAACTAACCTGTTATAGTACATGTGTATTGAAATATTTGTTACTGCAATATTTATGCCAAATGGTAGCTTTTATTATGCTGCCAAAAGTATATTCTAGAGCTTTTGGTTTCTTTCTGGACTTGCCTTGCTGTATCAATGGAGGCTTCTGCATATTCACAAATAGTTATATGTCCAATCCCTTTAAGGCAAAGATTCCCTAGCTGAACCTCTCGCCAGTGAATGAAACAATGTGTGCTTCTCCTGGCCTACGGTAGAGTTCTCTGTGGCTTATACTTGTGCATATTTATAGTAATAGCTTACAGGCTATACCTCGCATTAAACATTTATGTTAACACTACAGCAGATTGTGCCAAAATAATCTTACTCATTTGTAGGATAAGTCCCATGTACCCAAGTTTAACCCATCATTTGCAGGTGGTTTCTATTGATCCAAATATTACCCAAATATCTGTTTTGTATGCTAGTCAATGAATTCCACAATTATGTCCCCCAGTCCAACTGTATGTTCTTTACGTAGCATCTTAAGATTTGCATTAGCACTAAAGTTCAGTAAGAACTTAATGGAGTTTAAACTATTTTGAATGCTGTAGAGCTAAATATTTTTAAAAGACAATTATAATAGGCTTCTGTACGTTGGATGTACATGAATACAGAAATCTAAAAGCACTAGCACTGTTCAGTCAAGTTTGGTAGGATGTTTTAACTTTTGGGAATTGAAGGCTGATCCTTTCTTATCAAAGATGTCCCTTTATTTGTTGAAATAGGTTTGTTTGGCCCTTATGTGGTCAAACTAGTTTATTTCCTACTATTCATAACTTGGTTTCAGAGCACATAATGTTCTTGCCTTAATTGCATATAAGTTATTATGAATTGGTCCTGTAGAGTATCAAGATTGCTGCTCTAATACAAAAGGGAATCTTTTAAAAAGATGCTTGGATACTTCATAGCAGATGCTACAAATGCTTTGAGACTCTGCTAGAGGCATATTCTTGGAAGTTGAAAGTTCTTCACTGGACTGACAGATTTGGCTTCTTCAGCTGCTTTTATTATCTATTTTAGAATGGTTTTAATGGTCAACAGGGTCATCACATCAGATGGTTCTTAGCAACAGCAATTATTGCACCCATGTGTAATTTGATTAGAGCATGTGGTTGAGGAGTTACATTTCAGGGGTTACAAGATGCAGTTGGCATTCTCTATTTGAATGTAGCCTCCCCTAGTTAACCAATGTCATTAAGCATTAATTTTGAGGCTGCAATAAAATCTTAACATGTCTCCCTCTTCCAATACATGCCTTTGGGAGAAAAAACTGATTTTGCTCTTAATAAATCTGATTTGTCTGCACTATATTTAAAGTTCTGTAAATGGCCTAAAACTACATTAAGTTTCTTAATGCTGTTGACTTGAGTACCTCTAATGTGTGTGCACATGTGCCTGCCTGATACTATAGAACTTCATTAAGCTTAAGTGAACTATTGACTTTGTATGCTAAATATATTGAGGGTTTAACTTACATTCTGCATTATAGGGAAACTGAGCTATGTTTGTCTTTTGAAATACTTTGTAAAAAGTAGAGGTTGCAATTAAAATTTTTCTTTTTCCAAAAAAAATTGGGCTGCAGAATGATGGTTACCTTTGTTAAGAGCATTCAGATGTCAAAAAAATATAGTGCTCCACACTTAAGTCCTAAGCTCTGTTTGCAACATATGAGAGTGATGTCTTAATAGCTAGGTGAAATCTTTAGCAAACTTTAAGCTAAAAGCATGTTAAGTCTTTTGAAGGCAAAGAAAGTACGTTTTTGAAACAAAATAATTTACAGTGGAGTATTAAGGCCAGTTTGAGTAACACCAATTCTGAATTGTGAATATTGAAGATGATTCAAGAATGTAAAATATGCTTTCTATGTCACTGAAGCAATGCATAAGACCCACTATAATTTTCCATGGAACTAATTTAGCCCAAGGGCACATGTGATTTAATAACCTAAGACAATCTAAAGAGCAGAACAAGTAATAACTTGCTAGTATAATTTATTAAATCAATGAATAACCCTGTTGGTTCCCACTAATATAAATATTAATAGGTAGTTAATATTTCCAATATTTCAGTTCTGGTGCTTGCTACTACAGTCAAAGAGATAAAATGTTTTTGTATGTGCAGAACATGTTTATGAACAAGTTTTATTGAAGCTACTTAAAAGGCTTCAAGATCAGTGGGTCCCAAAGGAAGAACATAACATAGCTAATTTTTATTACATTCAATTTGTAGCAATACTTTCTGGAATGAAAGAGAATACTTGTAAGAGGGAACGTGATTCATCTGGCTATCAGACAGCATTTTAAAAATAAAGCTATAAAGCATCTTTTTTATATGGATATGGTATTGAAGAAAACTGGATATTGATTTTGACTAGTTTTTAAATCATTACTAGGTGAGCAGTTAAACATGTTAAACGTGACGTCATTCAACATATCAGGACGGTTTTGCCATTGCCGGCAATGGGGTGGGCACGACTTCCGGATGATGCGTCTGGCCCGCGGGCTGGTAGTTTGACACTCCTGCTATAGATAATACTCCGGGAATCAAAGGAGGAGCTTTTTTTATCCTTTTCATACCATAGAGTCCATGCTTCACTGCCTCTTTGGCCTTTGGGATGTATCCCTCCTACATTCCGCCACATCATTTTTGAAATCTTTTATGGCTTAAAGATGGGTTACCTAAGGGACCGTCTTCTCCCAATTGTTTTTACCAGTCCAATTTTTCTGGTAGGTTGTGTTACAGCCTCATCAGCCAAGGAACATCAGGTGATGGGGACCAGGAGACATGCCTTTTCTGCTGTAGTGCCTACTTTCTAGAATATTCTCTCTTCAGAGATCAATCAGAGATTACCTGTTGGCTTTTGTAAGGCCATGAAGACTTGGTTGTGTACCTGGGTCTGGAATCTCAAGGGCCTCATTTCTTGGCTATATTATCACCTATGATAATTGTTCTGCTCAGTATATTTTGTATTTTTTAAACTTGTTTTTACATTTTATTATGTAGCCTCCCAAAATCACTTGTTTTGATGGGGGCTATAGAAATCAAATACAACTAAATAAATACCCAGAATGATTGAAACCTAGTGCTGCAATTATGCCATTATAGACTTAAATGATAGGCAGTAATTGTTTCAAAATAATTTTAACCTCATAGTGAACCCTATTCCTAGTCCAGGCTAGCCCATCTTCTCTTAAGAGATATCTGTGCTGTTTCCAATTGGAGCAAATTTAAGGCAGTGGTTGACTAATTTTGAGAAGAACTTTTGGAATTTAGAATACAGTATATATTTCAGATGAACCATAAAAAACATACAGGGGCATGTGCTTTCACAAAATGGCTTCTAAAGCTGAGCATGGTGAAACTATCACAAAACAAACAGATGTGTTGTTGGGTGCCAACAGATGGTATCTTGGTCACTTCCTCTTGCTTGAAAGTAGGGTTAAGAATTCTTGCCTCAAGGCCAAAACCATCCCTCTTCAGACTTCTAAGGAAATGAGAAATATGCACCTACATTTCTGGCAGAACTCAGTGTTTTCCTCCTTAAAGTAATTGAACTGAGCCTATATTTCTAGATATTAGAAATAACACTCCTAAGCATAGCGGGATTTAGTTTTGAGTAATTATAAATAAGATTAATAATAATAATAATAATAATAATAATAATAATAATAATAATAATAATAATAATAAATAATAATAATAAAAAAAAACTTGGAAGTAACCTTGGAGGTCATCTAGTCCAACCCCCTGCTCAGGCAGGAAACCCTATACCATTTCAGACAAATGGCTGTCCAGTCTCTTCTTAAAAACTTCCAGTGTTGGAGCATTCACCGCTTCTGGAGGCAGGTTGTTCCACTGGTTAATTGTTCTAACTGTCAGGAAGTTTCTCCTTAGTTCTAGGTTGCTTCTCTCTTTGATTAGTTTCCATCTGTTGCTTCTTGTCCTGCCTTCAGGCGCTTTGGAAAATAGCTTGACTCCCTCTTCTTTGTGGCAGCCCCTGAGATATTGGAACACTGCTATAGGACAATCAAATCACGGTCAAGTAATTCTGAGTAATAAAATAAGGTTTACTTTGCTTTTTTAGGCTTAACTGCAATGTCATCTCTTTGCAGGATGTCTCTTTGTTGAGATGGATTAAATCTGAGTAACAAGTGTTACTTGTTATATTGTAATTAGAGTGCTTATTTAAAATATCTGCAGATTAGAACAGAAAATTTCCAGGAATTGAGAATACTTCAGGAATAATGAAAACAATATAGTTTTCATTAAGTTTGTAATTGCCATGCAAAATTTCAATCCTAATCCTAACGTTGGACTTGTGTTACTGTAAAGTTCGCTCGTGCAGTTTGATGAAAGAAATGGAGCAGTGTATTTTAAAGCAATATTTGGTCCTTAATGTTCTGACCACGCCAGCTGAGGTTTATGTGGAGGTTTAAATGAATGTTTGGCATAGTGGCATTCTGCCTAAAGCACGTGTTCACTCAGGAACGTTTTATCTCCTAATTTAACACAATTGGGGAGTCAGCTGCAAGCATTTGCTGAAAAAGAACAGGGCCTAAAGCTGGAGTGAGCAGCTGAGAGCTCTCTGGCTATGATCGGACAAATTCCTGCTCATGATTACAGCAGCAGATGGCCAGGAGTATAGGCAAGGCTGGAATTTGTCCACCTGTTTTCAAAGTGGCCCCTTTGCAGATGGGAGATAGAGACCTTTGTAAATTTTTCTCAGATCTAATATCAGGACAGGGGTACATGGTCTGCTTTCAATGTAGAAAGCTCCTTGGTTAGGCTATCATTTATTCAGATATAATAAAAATAGCAAAAGTAAATTGAAAATCACGTTAAGGGGTAAAGGGGCTGATAGGCAGTGTCCAGAGCACAGAGAACTCATGTAATTTTCCTCCCTGGTGGATTTCTAAGGAAAATTCCTCAAGCGAGGATTCACACGGACAAAATATCCTATTTACAGCAGCAATTAAATTCCCCTTCTGCCTGCTTGGTCATTTTTCCCTACCCAGACTGAAGCAATATGTGCTCTTCCTTTTTTAAAAAAATGCAGCCAGATATGAAAAATATACATTTTTGAAATTAATAATCAGCTTTCCACAACAGCTCTCTCAAGCCTTCCCAGGACAGAATCTACAGACATTTGGGTAAAGCTTTATTTCTTCAACTTCTCAACAATCTCACGTTATGGAGCCATCATAGATATTTCAGCAAAAGGTTTCATGACCACCGTTTGAATTTTGGCATTTTGAAAACAATGAGAATAAAAGTGAAGCTCAGTAATGACACACTTGTTTGGAAACCATTTTAATTTGTTCTTCATCCTTGTTATGCTTATAACTGTATAGTGTCACTATTGCATCATATTGTCATACTGTAGAAAAGGTTATGCTTTCCAAAAGGGCAAAAGTCAACAGCTTGTCTGTACCTGTTTCCTTTCCAGTTGCCAGGAAGATTGCAGAGAAAGCCACCAGCAATTTATAGCGCTGTTCTAGGAATGTAACATACCAATACAATTGACCTAATGTACAAGTTAATATTTCTATAAATGCAATAGAAATAGTTCTATAGATTCCTCAACACAGTTGGTAAAAACAACTTCAACGTATACCTCTTTGACTGAGGATTATGCCTATGCCTATTAATAAAATATTACATTTTTACATTAAAAATACCTATTGGTTCCTCTTAGTAATTTCCTGGTCACATACAAGTGACTTGAGTGACTCCATCTTCTTGGTCAAACTGTCCTTCCTCCAATTCTCTAAGCATGCCATCGCTGCTCATGAATGCAGGGAAGCTTCCATAGTGGGCAGATTCATCCTTGGGCCAGCACTGTGGAGAAGGTGCTATATGGAATTCCTCTGTAGGATGCATGTGCTGTACAGGCTGAGAAGTAGCTGTGTCTGATCCAACTTTTCCACTTCTTATGTTCAACTTTTCTTCTCCAAATTGCTTATTATTTTTTTTCTGAAATAAAAAGGAGCTTGATTTATAGTTGATCCAGGCAGGGATCTTTTTGAATATGAACTGGGATTTTAGAATGGCTGGATTGTAGTCGAATTTAGGGTTTTTTTTCACACACACTGGCTGCTTTTACAAAGCAAGCTTTGACATCTAAGACCGAATCCAGTTATGGAATGTAGTTCCTTATCTTTGTCTTCATAATTATGTACAGCCAGCACAGAGCCCTGCCAAGTTCCCAGAAGACTGAAAAGATTTTAGATGCTGAATAGGGAGGATTCTGCCAATGTCTGCACAGTATTCTTATCCTGTAGTTGGAATCAACCATTAATTCAACAGACTATAAATCTGGCACTCCAGCATAGAAGCACAAGTGCTACCGGATTCTTAACTACTCCTGTTTTGTATACATTAAACAATGCTTGTTCTCATTTTGACCTAAAAATAGTATTTGCTAAGAGGTAACTTATTAGAAGAATTTTTAAATTAAACTCTAAATTAAACTTCCAGTATTGTTATACAGTGTAAAAATTCTTTCATGGTGAACTTGATTCCTAGTAACTTCATGTCCATACTACTTTATTACCAACCTTACAGGCTTTTGCGGGATGTTCTTCAACTTCTCTGTTAGGATACAGCCTTGGGATTCCCTAATAGCCTCTCATCCAAGTATAAATCAGGGTTGATACTATTTAGGGTCTGATCCAAGACAAAGTTGGCTAAGTCATGCCTCCTCCTGAGCTACTGCTGTACAAGGTTTTCAAGCAGTATTCTTGTTCGCTCCCTCCAAGTTATTTCAGCAAATCACCTCCCCTTTTTTTTTCTAGAAATGTTTTGCATATAATAAAGTCTGAACTGGAAAATATCTTTGAATTGCATATCACAACACCTGTGATTTACAATTAAACAGCAGAAACATATTTTAAGAGCAAAATAGCAGCTTTGATTATGATTGCACCCTCAAACAATTTAAATCTAAAACGATACATTAAAAGTTTGATGCATCCAAACAGGGATGAACCTATGTCGTTCTGTTTAAATATTTGATTCCTAGTCTTATGGAGATAATTTTTTTAACCTTTTAGCTTTTAAGATATAGTTCCCAAAGGCCACTATTTTGTATATTTTATATTACTAACTGAAACTGAAATACTAATTCCGAAATTTCTTGACCAAATGTTTTTAATAGTCCTTTAATCTCCTGTTTCTCTCATCATAATACAGTTAATTCAGTGATTATTTCTATTGATAAGCTATTTCTGTAAGAAAAAGCTTATCAATTAGTACATTAAATGATTAGTACATACATATAGATTTATAAACTTGTTTTAATCAAGTAGGGTTTTTTCTACAGTGGTTACTGTATGCTTAGTGTATCATATTTTTATTTAAGTCCAAATATTTTAAAGTTTAGTCTCCGCACTAATTAATTGAGACAATTGTGACATTACTCAGCAAATCAAAACCTTAGTCTGTTTAGAGCCGTGGTGGCGCAATAGTTAGAATGCAGTATTGCAGGCTAATTCTGCTGACTGCCAGGAGCTCAATCCTGATCGGCTCAAGATTGACTCAGCCTTCCATCCTTCTGAGGTCGTAAAATGAGGACACAAATTGTTGGGGGCAATATGCTGACTCTGTAAACCGCTTAGAGAGGGCTGTAAAGCACAGTGAAGCGGTATACAAGTCTAAGTGCTATTGCAATTGCTGTAAATTAAAACTAATTAGGAAGAAATACTTCATTGAGACATTCTAGGAATAAAAGTTTCTGAAATTCTTTATGTATTCCTTTTTTGAAACAATGAACTTGGTCTACAAAAATGTGGCATGTGAACTGCTTTCCTTTCCCTTCCATCTGTTTTAATTTCCTTCGCTCCCACCCGAAGAAATATAATTTTAAAATCAGGAGTTCCTCCTAGGCTAAGGGGAAAGAAAAAATTTAAAGAGATGCAGGCCTCCTTCATTAAACATGAAATAGACTGTTTTTTTGCCCTTGCTTAGCATAATGGCCCACACTCTTCAGGAGAGCCCTTCAAAAGAAGTTTGAGAAGAGATGGGGGGAGGCTGCCCTGGGGAAGTGACTGCTGAAATGAATGAATGGCTCTAAGAATTTAAGTCATGCTTGCCCTGCATTTGCAAAATGCAACCTCTTAAAAATGGATAGTGCTAAACTTTCTCATATTCAGTTTTCTGTTTCTTTGATGTCCACATGTCCTCAACTTGTATTTTGCTTTTTTTTCCCCTTTAGACATTTTCAGGCTTTAGGCATTTTTAGTAACTTGTTGCTAAGACTGCTTTAGGGAACAAAAGAGAGAAAATGAGCGAAGAAAACAATTGGTCATTAACAGTCCTTTGTGGCTATTTCCTTTGATCCTTTTCTCTTTCGTGAGATAAACAAACAATGCCAAATCTCAAAAATACAACAATATTCATTCTATAGGCAACTTGGCTTCCAAAAAGATTAAGGGGTGGGGGTGGGATTGGATGTGGCAGTACAAAGGACAGAGGGCCGTGCAGAGAGATTCCTTGTAAGAAAAAATGTTAATCAGTTCTTGACCCTTAGGACTCTACACAGAGACAATGATTGCAAGCCAGAAATAAAACAGTTATTAGTTTCACCGCATCCTGCTAAAAAAGCTGTGTAATGGACAGTGTGCATAAGGAAACAGGCAAAGGATCATCCAAGGACATCACTTTGGCGAAGAATTCTGAATCGTTTTCAATGTGCTTTTTATCTCACATGGAAATGGATAACAATTTGTCACATAGCTCATCCTAGGAATTGCGTAACTCTACACAGTGCGCTCTTTATAATGGTGTGGAAAAAAGAAGTGCTTTCAGTAATAATGGAGTTCTTTCACATATTGCCATATAGGTGTTGCAGACTCCCGGGGCATGCCTAAGAACTTCAAATGGTTTTGCAGGATAAACAAGAGGAAGTTAGATTTTATGTATATATATATATGTGTGTGTGTCTTAAAAACAATGCTAAAAACCGACAATTGATTCCTGGGAGTGTTCATAATAAAAACATACCAATGTGAATGAGCACCAGGAAAACAAAGCCCTTTAAAAGTTTTAAAAAAGGCTTTAATAAATAGATAATAACCCAAGCTTTCGCCGGCTTTCTGCCGGCATCCTCAGGGGTTCATGTCGGTCAATGGGAGAGTAAAAGGGGGAAGACCAAAGAAAGGGAGAGGTATGTCCATGGAATAGGAAACAGGCAGGAGAGAGGAGAGTGGGTGTGGAGCGAGCGTGTGAAATAGGCATGGCCCAGGTAGATCAGCATTGGAAGAAGAACGGAAATAGAACGGCGATTGGCCATTGGAACTTCACGATAGCACCTTTGGGCCGGGTGCAAATGTGGCCGCAGTATAAGAAGTGCCCTCCCATTGACCGACATGAACCCCTGAGGATGCCGGCAGAAAGCCGGCGAAAGCTTGGGTTATTATCTATTTATTAAAGCCTTTTTTAAAACTTTTAAAGGGCTTTGTTTTCCTGGTGCTCATTCACATTGGTATGTTTTTAATATGTGTGTGTGTATATATATATATATATATATATATATATATATATATATATATATATGTATGTATGTATGTATGTATGTATGTATGTATGTATGTATGTATGTATGTATATGTGTGTGTGTATATATATATATATCTTGCATTTTGTATAGCAGCAAGCTGTAAGAAAGAAAACACATTCAAGGGAGACAGTTGACCTGTACAAATTACACAGCCTCTCTGCTTGTGCCAATAAACCCTCTGAATTCTCTCAATCCCCTTTGCCACATGAGCCCTTTCCCGGTTTACATGATGGGCAAGACAGACAAGTGACTTTTAAGTGAGAAAGCAGGAATTATCTCAGATTGTAATTCTTACCTCAGGTATCTGGACAGCTGGATTCCCCATAGCTGGCCTCTGAAGGAAAACAACTTGCTTAGTGGCTAGATTGCCTTCACTGAAACATTAAAGAAGCTGTTTTTAAAATTCTGTCTTTCTCTCGTTTTGTTCATATACAATTCGATAGAATTCACTGAAATTAATAAGGCTGAAACTGGATGATACTTTATTAGTGAGGTGTCACATGCATCAAACACACTTGTGTATGTATTTAACACATTTATTTATATATTGCCTTCCTTTTAGCATCCAGCAAAAGACAGTACCCCTTTCAGTCACGACAGACTCAATCTTATGGTATTTCAGCAAGGAGGAATCTCGTGTGTCATCAAGGCCTGTCCTCAGAGGCCACATTATTCCTACCTACAAAGCAACATATTAATAACTATGCTTTTCCAAGCAAATTCTTCTCTTAATATTTAAAAGAAATGTAGTAGCAAAACTTATTCAGCCTCTAAAATTAACTTAGTGACAGTGCATGAACAGCTAGTCATGTCCAGACTTGCTACATCTGTTAATGTAAATACACATTTGGCTTTCCATAACAGTAATGCGGCCAAGTCATATTTAACCTTGGAATTAATGATCTTGATGAGCGCTTTTATGGTAGAGTTTCCCAACCTTTCTGGTTTGCGGACTGGTGGGGAGGGGGGAGGCTCCACTTGAGCGGCTGGCAATTGTGTGCACAGCTCCATTTATGTGAGTGGCGTGCAAGCTCACCCATCATAAAAATGGAGCGCGCTGCATGTGTTTTTCCATTGCTCACGCAAGTGGGGATGCGTATGTGCGCATTCACCTGCGTTTCCGCGACCTGGTTGCAAATAGCTCATGGCCCACTAGTGGACCGTGGCCCAGAGGTTGGGGACTTCTGTTTTAAGGCAGTCTATTTGTTTTCATTAACATGTTTTTATTTCATAAACATGATACATACACATACCTTATTATTACAACATCTGTCTGCCTTGAAAGAGCTTCCTTCATTCTAAGTATTGTCAAATCGTCTGGGTCCACATATTGTGCAAAGAACCAATGTGGTTTGTTTAGGGTTTTTTTTGCAAACTATGTGACCTTCATCATTATTAAGTTCATCAGAAAAAGTTAAATTTGCCATCCAAGCATTCCCATTTCCTTGTGAACACATATATGTCTTTTTTTGTTGATTTGTTTTTGTTTTGGAGGGGTGTTTTGCTTTTGGCAACTATAGCGAATTGGCTTGTTAAATCATCTTCCAGAATGGTTTTTCATCTTCTGAATCTAGTCTGCAGCCCTTGTTTTTCCTGATACCTTCTCATCAATGCAGCTATCCAAATTCTCATCAGGATTAGTTTTTTCAAGATTGATCAAGGCCAATGCATCACCTGTTCTGCAAACTGTGGTTTACAAGATTGGCTTAGTACAGTGCATGATACTAGCAACAGCATGGCCTAGTAATCAATCAATCAGTCAATAAAACAATCATTAGCATAGTAAACATCATAGGATTCCATTGAGAATGATTATGGATGACATTAGAGAGACAAGAGAAAAAGGGGACCAATGAAACAAGAATCCAGTCATTTTTCTGTTTTTTGTTTTTTGTTTACAAAAGGGTGAGGTTAAGAATTTCTCTGGAAACAAGTCATCTTTCTATATCCTATTTTATGTTGGGACACCATGGAATCATCAAAGGCATAAACTCATGGCTAAACTTTAAGTTTAAAGAAATATTCCATGCTGAAGCACTGAAGCTGCTGTTTTAAAGAACAAGTTTAAACTAGACCTGGCCTTATTGAAATGCTGAGCACGATAAATGTCAGGGGATAAATTCACAATTGAATTGAATGAAGTTGGGATTGCCCCTGAATTTCAATGAAGGAAGGAAAGTACATTAAAAGAATCTGTATTATATGTTGAACTTTCTTCTCATATTTTGTCTTAACAAAAGATAAAGCTGGACTTGGATTGAAAAATGAGGGAAGAAAACCCATTGCTGCAACTAGATATTTACCATAGCTTTTGCCTTTTTAATTTGCTACTTGTAGATTATATTTAATGGCATGACTGAACTTGTTCACTAATAAGAATTGAATTTATACAGATTGTTCTGCTTTTTTTCATACTGGAATAACTACAGGGAAAAAAATAAAGGCAGTGGAAGTCTAAATGACATAATACATCAAATACTGTTTTGACAGGATACATCACCTTGATTTCAGTTATGGTCAGTTACTAATGATAATGTGAACCCTGTTAATGACAATCGTGCTAAGATGTCCAAATCCCTGCTAGCTGCTGATCATTAAGGCAAATCTGAAGACAGAGAAGCATTTATACTCCTCCATCCATGTTTGACATCTTCCATCTTTCACTGCAAAGGAAATCTTACAACTTCCTCCAAGGTTAGGCTTGTGGACAAGAGTTGGGAGATCCTGAGTGCTTTTATTTTACTTGCCCCTGAAATAGCTCAATATTCCTTTTCTAAAGCTTTATTCACTTGGGATTTTACAATTCTTGAAAGCGTTTTCTGGAAAGTGGTATCCAAGGAATCCTATGGCCCCTGGGTACATAGGATGACACCCTAAACCTTGAACAAGCTAAAAGGCGTTTTCATGTATGTAAGAAGGCAGAAGTTCCAGAAACTCTTCTTGTTACTGTTTCCATTATCTGGGGGGGGGGGGAATCCTTTTCTATAATAGTTGATTTTTGGTGGGTCTGCTTTAGGGAGAGGATAACAGGAAATCGTAGTGGGAAAACAGAAACTCTTCTAGTTATAGGATTTAAAGAATTATTTTGGGGGAAATGCTAATATTCCTGTAATCCTCTGAACAAAACTATGTGTGAACTGATGCAAAAGAAAACATCTCTGCCTTTAGCAGAAAGCAAAAGCTATTAATATTCCGCTTGCGTACTGAGGTCAGAGTTCAAAGACTGTGGGAAAAACAGAGAACTGTAGACTGAAAAACATGTTATTCTTTTTTTAACCATGTGAGCAATGCCGCATGACAACGTGAGCATAAAGAGTTTCACACAAATTAATGCAGCACTTCCTCAATTTTTTTAAATTGAAATAGTAACTGTTTATAATTCAGAATCACTAGCAGCCTATTCTGACAGGTGCGGAGAATACTTTTTTAAAAAAGAACTAATGATGATTTAATTCAATGACTTGGACTGCACTTTTAAAACTGAACCAAATAACATCTTCCCCAATCATAACAACTTTCCCAGATGGGTCAGGACTCCCATTTAGCCATGAATGTGCCAAAGCAGGCTTCTAGATTACAGATTCCTTTGTGCACAAATGCTTTGTGTATCATTCATGTGGCTGATCCAATTGCCTGGCAGGTTCACATAGTCCACAGTCAGTAAAGGGGGGGGGGCTGGAATCACTCACTTTAAGAAGCTGATAAAGCTTTTAACTTTTTTTAAAAAAAAAACAACCTTTTTTCTGATAGCTGATTAAGAAAGGGGTAGAATTATATAAAATTTGGTGTATTTATATGTTATAGAAAAATAATGTAAGAGGAGATGATCGGCTAGTACCCCTAAACTGCATCCGAAGGATGTGGAAAAGAAGGTGATGGGATGTGTAGGATAGTTGGAAAGGAGGAAGGAGGAGAGGGTGTGGGTTGGAGGGGAAGGAAGGAAGAGGGAAGGTAGGAAGGTTGAAGGAGTGAGGGTGGATGCAGGGGGGGGGGACCGCTGATCATTTCTGAAAATATATTGACTAGGTTTTCTTTTTTGTTTTTTAATGAAATGCACCTCATTTGTATTATATGTTTATTTGAAAAATTAAAAATTTGCAAAACAAAGAAAGGTTGCTGATTTAACACATTATGTTGGATTGGGATTATGTTGGATTATTTCCCTTCTGATCAACTACCATATGTGCTTTTAAAGGAAGAAATAGATTGGTTGAACTAATTGTTGGAAAATGATTGCTCAAAATACACTTTTACTTATCCAGTTTTTGTAGTTTGTTGTGTTATTTGGAATGATACACCAGTGATTTAGAAACTATCGGGAAGACAATAGCAATATGTATCTTATTTATATTAATATTTTTTCTGTGTATAAGTTATAATTCCCCATCAGTTGTACAGTTGGCTCCAATGGGGGAGCATCACAATGGAGGTGGTTGATCGATTAATAACAGATCCCATCTTTCCCCCCCCATCCTGCTTCCGCCCTCTCCATTTTTTAATTGGCCTGTAATGTTTGGATTTTGTGTTAACTTATGTTTTTCCCTTAAATAGTTTTTATCTTTTATATTGTAAGCCGCCCACAGTTACCTTGAGGTAAGATGGGCAGCCTATAAATTTTATAACTAAAATCAAATCAGTAAAATATATTTGAAAAGCATTTTATCATTTTATCATTTTCAGAGGACTACTTAGAAAACTAGATTTAATTTCCTTTTAAATATGTACAATTTCCCCTGTCTCCTATTAAATAATTATGTTATGATATATATATGAAATTTTCAGTTCATAAGAAATGAATGCTTTTTTGTGGACTAGTCTTTCTTTATCTGCATATGATAAAAATGAGTTTTGTATTTTTATTGCTTTTTTGTATAATAGTTCAAGGGATTTCAGAGTAGGTGAGTTGTTTAATCCAGTTTGATATAATAAAATATTAGTATATGTGGAATTAAGAATAGTTTCAAACCTGGCATAAAGAAAAGGGCTAAGAGAGTGTGTGTGTGCATATGTGGACATAGGTGTGCATACTGAATAGCTAGTTTGCATGTGACTTTGGTCACATTGTGCAGCTGTGATGAGAGCCTCTTCCCCTCTATGTGTAGGGAAGTTATAGTTTATGATCAACATCCCTCTTTGCATGTCTTGTTTTCACAAAGGACTACTATTTATTATGACTCCAAAAAATACTATACAGTTTTGCTTATTCATTACTAGCACATGATAGCTATTTAATGAATCAGATGCTATTTCCTGCAACAGTCAGTTGGTTATAAAAGATTTCAAACTTCCTCTTTTTTCCCTTAATGCCCTTTCTACAATTAGTCAAGATAAGGATGGGGTCTATGAGCTGAGTCTGTTTGCCTTCATTCTATGGGCTGAGCTTGTTTTTCTTGAAAGACATGGTATTTGGTCAGCAAAGATACCGGTCCTGATGGAAATAATGGGATATCTCCTGTTAACTTTTTGCAGCCGATCACTTCAGCGTGCAATAGGCAGAAAATGTAATTCTAGGAGATGAAACTCCTAGGACATTTATTTCATTCAGACATTTCAAACTTAAATGCTCATCTTCTTTAAATGCTATTTTTTTAATTTGCAGACAAATATTTCTAAGGTATTATTTTAAAACAGGGAATTCCAAAATTGCTGCTATCCTTGTGAGAAATAAAACAAAAATAACACTGTAGGGAATACTGACGCTGCCTCTCCAGTTCAAGAGAATTGGTGCAGGACCTAGGCCAGTTCTCATGGAATAAATATCTAATTGCTTGAATCAGTTCCTAAATTACGGTACTCTGCCCTTTTACAGACTATATGGAAAGGTTTTTCCCCTGCCTGCCTCCTCTCAAGCAATTGTTGCTGAAGTAGTGGGCCACCTGCCCAGGAGATAGACGTTTAACTCTATCATAGAGAGAGATTATTTAATTGTGCTAACTGATGGTTAAATACCAAACAGATTTTTAAAAATCTGCTATTGGTTACAGCTGACCATTACGTCTTACGCAGACATTAAAAAAAGAGGGGGGGAAATCACCAATGTGGAAGAAAACACAGATATTTGCTAATATGAAGGCTTTCTTCCTGCAGACAATTGAACTGTTTGTTGTGCTCTCAGATGTACGTTTGAGTGAGATGGGCATGGATATCACCCATAAATACATAGACCAAGGAGATGTCACCGGTTACTCCCGGCGTAGTTCTGAATCATTCATGAGGCATTCCATTTATTCTCATGTTTGCTTTACAGGTAGTCCTCAGCTTACGACCACCGTTGAGCCCAAAATTTCTGTTGCTAACTGAGACATTTGTTAAGTGAGTTTTGCCTCATTTTACAACCTTTCTTGCCATAATTGTTAAGTGAATCACTGCAGTTGTTAAGTAAGCAACACAGCTGTAAAGTGAATCTAGCTTCCCCATTTACTTTGCTTGTCAGAAGGTCACAAAAGGTGATCACATGACCCCGGGACACTGCAACCGTCATAAATATGAGTCAGTTGCCAAGCATCTGAATTTTGATCACGTGATCACAGGGATGCTGCAACAGTTATAAGTGTGAAAAACGGGCATAAGTCACTTTTTTCAGTGCCTTGTAACTTTAAATAGTCATGAAACAAACTGTTGTAAGTCCAGGGCTACCTGTATACTCTTGTTGTATTTAGCAACTAGCCCTCAGTTGCTTGTTCATATTTCAACAAGCATTTCCTAATTTAAGCCATCACTTTTTGTTTTGTAAACCAATAAACGTTCAGTTATTTTTTTAAAAATTCATGTTTCTCAATGATCCATTCAAGAGGAAAAATGCAGGGCTAGTCTCTGATTCAGCCACCATTCTGCAAATCTCAAATAATGATCTGAATTCCTCTCCTCGGTCTTTCAAAATAATGCACAAGAATATCAAAACCTCATCAGATTTTCCATATCTCAGCATTTGCACATAAGATTGCTGAAATTTCATGGATATTTTTTTTAAAAAATATATTTTTTTAAATGTATGTATGTATGTATGTATGTATGTATGTATATAAATGAAATCCTTTAGGCAATAATATGAAAAAGTATTTTTCAAAATTAATTGAGGAGCTATTTGTGACCCATGCAGGCTCTGTGTTGTTCACTGCTGCTATAAAGAAAATCGACATTGGCAAAACAGAAACGCTGCTTCCTGGACTACTTTTTAGCCTCTTTTGCCTTCAACTGCATTCCCAGGAATAGGAAGGGAAATTGTTATTTCATCTACCTGTCCAGTCGGATGATAGGAGTAGGCAACACACATGTTAAAAGCCAGCCAAATTCAGCCAAAGTGTGCAGTAAAGGACCATAATCTGTTTTGATTTCACTGCCCTGTTAACAAAAATAGATACAGAAATATATATGTAAGAACAGAGTAAGCATTTCCACAGACCAACCACGAGATGTGGAGAGGAAGGAGGGGAAACCCAAAGGTCCAGGCATATTAAAAAAGGATTATTACCCATTAGCATACAAAAAATAAGAACAGTGTGTGCACATGCACGCACAGACATGCAGACAGTTTTCTGGTATAGTTATGTTTTTTTCTTCCTATTGCTGTTCTGGTGTGTCTATAGAGACAAATTTGACAATTTCATATTTCTTTTCCTAAAGAAATTCAGTTCCATTAAATTCAGTTCTATTTTATTTTTAGTCTGGACCTCAAAACACAAACCAAAAACCTTTGCCCATTTGTGAAATGCATGCCAAAAGCTGATTTTATAATATTTACTATAGATAGAGTAACCCAGTGCTGGTGTAATCAGAAATGATTCCTGGAGTTGCAATCTTATTCAGTTGTATAACACACTGGAAATTGCATTAATATATACGTTTAATATATATGACTTATCAAACATTTTAAAAGTTATGGTATACATCAGTGGTAGGATTCAAATATGTGAACAATTGGTTCTCTATGTGGATGCAGCTTCCGGAAGTCCGTTCTGGGCTTGGGCAACAAAAAATTAGCTACCGGTAATAATTGTTTTGTTTCTATAATAGCATAATAGTTTTTAAAGTGTTATATTACACAAATATTATTATTACTGGTATGGCCTCAAAAATATTTCAAATCACATTAGGCCAAAAGATTGTTTCTCTCTCTGTGTGTGTGTGCGCGCGTGTGTTGTGTGTGGTCTTGAAATTTCATTCCTCACAGCCCTTTGTCCTTAATCTTCTCTTTAGGTTCTAAATGTGATTGAACCTAAAAGTACATATATATTGTGACTTCAATGATGTAAGTAAATTGATGAGCTAAGAACAAAGAAGAAATTATCTGTTTATAGATACAGAGGACTTTTCACTCTTAAGAGCTCTAATTCATGCAAAGCCATTTCTGCGTAATTATTGTATGTTAAACAGTATTTTTTAAAGAAACTTCTGAGAAGCTTCTGTTGCAGCCATATCACTACCATTGGAGCTACTTTGTATAGTAAAAAATGGAGGAAAGGGGAAAAAACTAAGTAATGTGTAATTCTCCTTCACCTGCACGTGCAAATTCTCTAGAATGGAGTAATTTGTATTTCACTTTATTCCTGTCTCTTTCTGAATTCCAAAAGCCACACTATAACAGTTGTCTGAGTTACTTGAAGCTATAATAAGGGTTGATTTGCAACTTCTAGATGTTTTGGACTAAATTTCACAGCTCCTTTCTTCTCTTTAAGTATATCAGCTGAGGTAAATTGAAGTTTAAAAGTTCTGAAGAATTCATTACTTGTCCCTGACATATGTGGTACAATGATTGCTGAGATTACATGATATAATTAAAAACTAATCAGTGATGTTTATTTCAGTTGTCAACACTTATTTATGGAATCACTTGGGGAACTGAACTGCTCAGCTTTTTTGTGGGATAACTTCTGTGAAATGATTTATTATTTTATTCTTCCAAGAGATGATATTGCACTTATGCATTCTCGGTGAATGGCCAATCCTTTAGGCAAACCTTATGCCAAAGGGTTCTGCATTACAGAATATAAAATATGCAAATCCAAATGGAAAATGCTTCTTAGCATGAACTATTCAATAATGTGACACAGAAATGGCAATATAGTAAACCCTCTATTTAACAGTCCTCAGTGTAACATCTTTGGATTTAACAGACAAAATATGCTAGATCTGAGTTGTTCCAACAAAATTTATTAGAACAGACTTTCCTATCCTTTACTGCTAACAAGAAGGAATATAGCGGGAGAACAGAAAATGAGAAACTAGGGTACAGACCAAATATCTTAATAAAGAGTGGATGTTTGAAAAGATAGATACGGGGAGCCAAAGAACAGATGACCATCTGAGACTTGTCAGCTTTGTAAATCTGGGAGGGATAACCATGAGGAGGCCAGTGGCTGAATTTGGTTGGTGAAACTTCCTCTTTCTGCATGAACAAATTACAAATTTCTTTCATGAAGCCTTGCATGTAGAAAGGGCAGCCATTGTGGCCACCTCCCTTGAACCAGAACCAAAGTCGAAGTTGCCCACCTTAAGCTCAGGAATATGCTTTTATGTCCAGAGAAGCCAATGCACTGATTCTAGTGCTGTGACTTTCTTTCTAGTACAAGGGAAGGAAAATGACATTGTTTCACACTTCAAAATTTAGCCTTGTGATTCCTTTTGTTCCCTCCCCCCATCCCCAATCCACCTCACCATTTATATAAAAGGCAAACTCCATGTTAGATAAATTGTACAGTATTTTAGACTGTAATTGTCATCACCTTCAGGAAAGTACAATTTCTCATATATAAGTCTGCTTTTGAGTTTGAAAAAATCCCATTTGGATTTAATTCAACTTAATTTTAACAGAACCACGTTTCATTTTCAAAGTCAAGATTTCATTTATTTGTTTCTTTATTATTGCAAACTCCTGATATTCATTTCTCTGAGCATTTTTTTAAATTTAAACAGAACATTTTCTTTAATGTCTGCCTATCAGCAACAGCTTTTTAGCTGTGACAACCACTCCTACCATGTAAAGATTTGGCCTTTATGAACACTAGAAAACAAAGATATATACAGGGAATGATTACCTAAAATGGTAATTGAACTGCGAGTTATTTTCTGCTGAAACCTCGTCCATTTAAAATTACTCGCTCACATATTGATTATTTTTCTGATTGCATACTGAGCTTATGTAAACCCTTGAAATTAATCAGGAAGAGTAACCTAAATTGTCAAAAATAAAAATAGGGAATTACCTCAATGACAGTCCATTGTTCTACAACAATAGCATCATTTCCTTTCCTCTCCGAACCTGGAAATCCCGGTTCTTCTTCATATATAAATAACCCTTCTAATGATTTGGGCCCAAAGTCAGCTAGAGAAAGGAAAAAAAAAGAAAAAGTAGTAAATAATAGGCATTTACAAAATATTTAAACTTTACAGAACCACACTTATGTATGCTTCCTTTTTCTATCTCCCACATGATCATTCTGATGTGATAGTCAATGAACAGGATTGTATGTATGTATGTATGTATGTATGTATGTATGTGTTTGTTTGTTTGTTTGTTTATGGATTTAGACACTGCCCACCTCACTATCTAAGTGACTGTGGGTGGTAACTTTTTCCTCCTGTCAAATACCATCTATCTTGGGTTCCTATGATGAGTGAGGTTGGGATGGGCAGAAATGACATCAGAGCCAATAATGCAACCAAGTTGTCTTTTTGACACATTAGCATTCATTACTAACACCATGCTGAAATACTATACAAGTGTCTAAACTTCTGCAAAAGCTTTTCAGACTAGACTGATGTTACCTATCCTTGAATTACACATTTCTAAATAATGATTAGGGCTACTAAATCTTGGTTGTGAAAGACTCTTTGTTGCCATCTAGCAGCTGTTTTGATTTTTTTTTTTTTGCCCAGATCTGGTTGTCCTATTTTCATGTATTTTCAATTTAAATTTTGATTTGATAGGTGTAATATAAAGAGAACATGCAGTGCATTCCTTAAACACAAAATGAACCTGGTATCCTCATTTCTTTCGAAGTAAAATGGCAAATAAGGTACAACAGCAAAGCAAATTCTGGGTCAACCTTCTTACTTGCTTCAAGCAAGTCATCTGCTGCTTATTTTACTGTTAGAAAGATTACATTTAAAAAAATCAGTTTAAAAGGAGACTGCATATGTTAAGAATCCACAGTCCTCATCTGCATCTATGAGATTTATGTATTAGTTCATTACTTGAATCACTTCGTGTCTAGTTTAGCCTTTAAGAAGAAATTCAATTCAATTTTAGAAAGTAAATAGCTTAGATATAAATAAGAGTATAATCTGAATAGACATGTTTCTTTTATCTGGTGGCTAATGTTAAAAAAAACCATGTTGAGTGTGATTCACATGATCAATTCTTCCTGCAGAAACCAGTTAAAAATGGGTAAGCCAGCTGCCCTTGTAAAGTAGGTAATGTAGGGAGTTCATCACATATCTCATTTCTTTGAAACAAAACATTTCCATGACAGCAAACATTTCAGGTTTAGGTTTTCATTTTTGGTTATCTTTTTAAGCAATTCAATTCAAAGTGGAAGGCCAGATCAATCTGGGAACTTAAAGTTGACCTCTCCTACAAAGAACGAATTGGAAGTCTGAAAAACTGCTTAATCTTCTCCAAGCCTCTTTATAGCTTTTTTTTCTGCCTAGCCATTGGTAGTTCTTATTTTTCACTCCTAAATTAAGGATGAATAATCCCTCTTTCTCTCTTTGACTCTCTCTTGGTGGGAGGAAAGGAAGTGAGACTTCCCCTCCCCCAGTCATTCTGTTCAAAACAGTTGGTTCTCTACACTGAGAAACAAGTGATACGCATAGAGAACAGCTGGTGGGGGATCTTCATTACTTCTCCCTTCCCTCTGGTGATCTTTTAATAGTTCCCTGGAAGAGAAAGCCAGTGAGTGATAAATGTAGTATCTATGATGGTGGGTGGGTGACAGATGCAAGCCTTATCTGAAAGCCTTGTCTATCCTGAATCAAACAGACCATTGTCTTTATTTACTCTGCAGCCTATTTTAAAACTTGCACACTTTTTTTTTGTATCTCCTTGAATTTTCTGAAATGAATTCTGCTAATATCCTTATTTTTAGGTGTGAAAATAGTATCATTATCCTTACCTTTAGAGGCTTCCCAACACACAAAGGAGTCAATTAATGACAACCCTTGTTTATAATAAAATGTGGTTAAATCTAACCAATCGGCATCCAATGTACTAATCACAGGTCCTTTCCGCGACACTTTCAGAGACAAAATACCATCATGATAGGTCCAACTGGTGGAATCATCTTCAAACACATTGAAAACTGTATATAGTTTGGTATCTAAGAAAAAAAAATGAAACAAAGATATTATTAGGATAATATACATTGTAAAAATGTCAATGGGAAGGAGATTATATTTACAGATTTTTAAAAAATCTAAAAAATTACATTTTGCATTAAGAATACAAATTAAGACCCATATGGATAAAAGCCCAGCATGACATTTGAATACTACTTTAATTCAAATTGCTATATCAGTCTTTCAATATGTAAGTTAAGTTGTTAATTCAGGTACTTAAATCCAAACTCTTCATTTTCTCTGTACAGAACATAGTTTCCTCTTACAATTTACATTGTGATTTGCAAAATGTTTTTCTTCTCTCTTTTGTATTGTATTGCCAGGATTTTTCTTTCTCACTTTTTCTAGCATCTAATGCCTACATTTCCATTCTTACATTTTAATTGCCTCATCTATTGCAGCTACAGTCATACTTTTGCCATCTCACCAATCATCTTGCAGCTTTAACTATGCTGTGGACATCTCATTGGATTGCCAGTTTGCAAACTAAACTTGGCAACCTTATCCCCTAATCTTTCCATCCAAATCATCCACATGACACTGACATTTCTCTCTAAAGTTCATTCTCCTTTAACTAAATTCATCCTCCTCTTCTACTTACTACCATTCAACTGTTTGCTACTTTTTTTATGATTCCCATTATTCATCTTTCTCTCAGAATTCATCTTTTTATATCTGTGTTTTACAATTTATGAGGGGTTTAAGGCTGGGTGCTACCATGCTATTTTTTTCTAATAAACTCAGTGGCAATTTTCTCTAAGTTGTTCAGTTAAATTTACTTTATTTTATATCAATAATCAGCAGATGACACAAAAACATAATGAAAAACAATAGTGTTCAATTTCGCATCTCCTATTGCCTCATTTTCATTGCGGTCACACAATTTTAGTTACAATATGGGAGATTGATGGTTTCATTTATTTGTTATTATGTATTAAACAATCTGAAAGAAGGAGGTTTACATAAAAATCAGTACTTCCTGAGAATTGTTGCACCAGATATTAGATATAATTCTTTTGAGTATCCCATGGAAGTTATAATATATTAGTATGTGGTGTACAATTTCTATCTGCTCAGATTTGCATGGGCAGTGTGCTGACCTTGTGGGGTTTTAGAGGGACAGATGCTGTATCTGCCTTGAAAACGTTTTTCACAACTTGGCAAAAGTAAGAATCTTTAAATATTTGGGGGATTCCTAAGTATTCTTGGCAACCTATGTTCTAGGCTCTGTGAGAATTGTTGACTTCCATTTGATGCTCCATATCATTTAACCTTTGAAAGAGTATTTGTTCAGCCAGTTTTTATCCTAAAGACACTAACAATGCGGAGGATAACACATATGATGTTACGTTTGTTCTGTTGCCGTTTTCCAGATTGAAAATAATTGTTAAAAAAAGTAGAGGCAATGCATTTTTCAGTTTTCAAATTTGGATCTATATTTGTCCTTGCTGAAAAAAAGGACAGATAAACACAGTTATACATGAGAAAAGTTTAAGAACACCTCCAAATACGGTTGTACCGTTTGATAATCCTTCTCTTAAGCTATTGTTCTTAAAAATGGATTCTTCTCTCGTTTGAGATAGCTACATAGTGCATATAGAATATATAGATGATGTGTTTAAATACCTTCTTTTTCCTTTAATTTATTTGGGCTGGGACAGCCTTCTCTTCCATCTTGAAAATCAGTCTTTTGTGCTGGCTTGCCATCTGGCTGAATTTCTTCCTGTATTCCACTCTCAGAGGATTGACCACTCGGCGTCCCTTCATTCCAGATTCTAACATTTTCGTCTGAATCATGGCTCCTCTGCTCTCTGTTCCTTCTGCACAGAGTCGAGTCAGACTCCATATCTTCACCCATATTTGTGCCATTGCAGATTTTAGACTGAGAGCAAGTCTGGGTTATAAACCCAACAAACTTCATTCCTCTTTTAGCAGCATCATTGACCTATATTTTTCAGAAAGACAGTACTAATGCAGGACTAGAATTTACAGTCTCCTGGCCTGATGCCTTAACCCTTATACCAGTGGTGGCGAACCTATGGCACGGGTGCCAAAGGTGGCACTCAGAGCCCTCTCTGTGGGCGCGCGTGCCGTCGCCCCAGTCCTAGGCCTTCAGCTGGGTTTTATAAAACCTTTTCGCTTTAGGCCTCCATCATCGTGTACAAAAAAAAAAAAAGGTTCAATCAATCAGTCAATTTCAACTTCTCGCGGGAAAAAAAAGATCTTGCAAAGTTGGAATTGATTGATTGGACTTTTTAGTCTCACCCAGTCTGCCGTTACCACTGCAGCCACGCCCACCCAATGGGCCACACCCACCCGGCACCCGACGATGCATAAGTGGGTTTTGGGTTGCAGTTTGGGCACTCGGTCTCTAAAAGGTTCGCCATCACTGCCTTATACCAAATTAGCTCTTAAAACATACTTGAAATGTCTTAAAAATCAATGCAAAGCTTTAATAAATGCTGATGTTCTGGAATTATTTGTTTATGTATATCCTAATAATTCAAGGCGGCAAACATACCTAATACTCCTTATCCCTTCCATTTTCCCCACAACGATAACTCTGTAAGGTGAGTTGGGGTGCAAAAGAGTGACTGGCCCAGTAGCATTCACTATCTCCTGGTTTCTAGCCTGGTATTGTATCCACTAGACCAAACTGGTTGTCATTCAACATTTCATTCAACATGATATTCAACATTTCATCATGGAATGTCAACATAGAATATTCCAAGGCTGCATTCTGCAAGCTTTACTGAACAGCTGAGAGACTCGGTTATCATACAGAACTAAATATATGATTCAGTGGAATATTTCGTCAATAAGGCCCTGGCATTCTTCTGAAGAAATCCTAGCATATTTTTCTCTTCTGAATTTAGAAATCAGGTTTCTGTGTAAAGCAGGCCAACACAAAGAAATGGATGGGAAAACATTTTCCATAGCTGCTGCCACCACTGTTCTATTCAACTTCTACCCATCTTTGACTCAACAGGAGCAGCAGGGGAACGGGAAGAGTTATGGGAGAACTCAATGGCAGGAATCTATAAGTGGGGTGCTAGCATTATTTGTAGTGCTTCTCCTCTGCTGCAATCAAATGATTCTCAGTGTTTGCAGGTTACATACAATTTAAAACATTTGGGTGAATTTAAAACCAATCAAAACAGTCGTAACAATAAAGCCAGTCCACAGATTAGCTCTGCATAAAAACAAAAGGGAACACACACACATACACACATGCACACACAACCAAAACAAAAAAGCCAGGTGGCATCAGGGAAGGAACTCAAAGAAAGCCCCTCCAAAACAACCCAGTTTTTAGGCTTCTAGAAAACTGACAAGGAGGGGGCGAACCTGATGCCCTTCATGAGGTTGTTTTATAATATTGGTGATACCACAGAAAAGCAAAGTTGCCCAGCTTCAGTATGAACCTCTCGAAATTGTGGAATTATGAGAACTGGTTGAAACAGATGATTCAGAAAGTAGTTACGTTATCATCAAGACAAAGGTTGGTATTAGATGTGTATGGTTTTGTTTGTGAACAGTATTTGAGTTCTCAAAGTAGGATTATGGTAAAAGAAAAAGTGAAATATTCAGTGAAAATGTCCATACCTTCTGTAGCACTTCCTTAACTGCCTCGTTTGTTAGTTTTTCGTACGTTAAAGGACACTCCTCAATCAGAAGCCTGGGTTGTTTTGGTTCTCTCATTGGTGGATTCTTCTGGCTAGAACACAGAAAGAAAACAGCCTTTGTTAAAATTTGACCTATCTTGTGCAAAATACTAGCAAGCAAAACTTTTTCATTCCCAAAAATTATAAATTGAATGTTGGCAACTGTCTTGTTTGGGTAGCTCTTCCGTTATTTGTGATTCTTTTGCCCATACATGTTGCTTGGAACAGAACTGAATTGCCCATTGAGCAGCCTTATTTACATTTCATTTAAATACTAAATATTTTTCTGCTGAAATATGCAAGTATAAATATGTAAGTTAAAAAGCAAACTTCCTTCAGATATCTAAGAGGTTTCATTGATGGTATTTTAACCATAATGCAGATGGAGGGAGAGTAAGATTTGAGAGGCTTAATTTGAGCTACAAACGCATTACTTTTTTGTAATGGCTTTGAGGCTAGGGGTGCGTCTATGTGCAAGGTATGCAGGAATTTGGGCGTATTAAGAATGTTGTTGAGGGCTGGAGTTTGGAGGTTTTGGTGCAAACTGTTTGGTTAAGTTGGGAATAGGACAGGGCAGTGTCAGCCAGTTCTTGGACACCGTGAAGCAGAACTTCCCCAAGTTAGCCCAAATTAAGCAGAGTATGGTGGAGGTAGGCTGTCTGGTGGCTTGGAAAATATTGGAGGTCTTTGACTGCCAAGACACCCAGAGCTGCAGTAGAGAAATCTGGAGTGGCCTCCCTAGCTGAGTAGCTTGAATCTGGGGCTGGGTTTTTGGTAGAGTTCTCCAAGCTTATGGTTCTGGGAGACTTGAATCCATCACCCCTGAGTGTGAACTTGGAAGCAGCTTAGGAATTCATGGCCATCACAACAACCATGGACTTGATTAAGTTATCTCTGGCCTGACTCACCTCTGTGTGTGGGGGGGAAGGTGTTACATATTATACCCGGTTTTTATTTCAGAGCAGTGGCAGCATGGGGATATTACAATCGCTCCCTTGTCTTGGACAGATCACTCCCTGTTGAGCAGGGAGGTAGGAACTATTTGATTGGTCCACTCTAGGCATCTGATGGATTCTTTTGGGTTCCATCCAAAAGGAAACTTCGGGTTATTCTTAGGGGTCTGCTTCTACTGAGGCCACTTGTAACAAGAGGATGACAATAGTCTTGGACTCAGTAGGGCCTGTGCAGTTATGCTTGTGGAGCTTGGAGAGTCCTCATTAGTTTTCAGAGGAACCTCAGATGATGCAGCAGCATAAAAGATTTCTAGAGTTCTGCTGGAGGAAAGTGAGTCCAGTTGGGTTAATTAATTGGATAATTTCTATCTATCCTTCAACTTTCCCTTAAAAAAAAAAAGTACTTGGCTTGCAGCTCCAGGGACAAAATAGTTGCAAAAAGGGTTTTCATCATGACAAATAACTGTTATTGTTTGAGGTTCACCAAGACGACACAAGCAATAAATGACTGCCTGCTAAGTCAGAAGATAACTGTTTTCTAACAACTAGTTAGATTTAAAGATTTGAATCTTAGGATATTTCAGCTTAAGAAGCTAACAGTAAGGAAATGTTACTGTCTTGTTCCACATTGTTTATGAAGCACAGATAGCTATGGAGAGGACAGAAGTGGAAACGTTTGTCCTGTGAAATGCTTTAAATTAACATTTTAAGGTTTAAGTTGAGCTTAGTACATTCATTATCTTCAGCTTTAACAGCACTTAACATCTCACAGTCATATTTAGGTAATGTAATATACACAAATACAATTTTAGCTATGTTGAAATATTTCAGAAGAGTTTCGAGAGCTGAACCTGAAGGAGTTCAATAAATTAAAATTAATTGTAAGTAGCTCTCAAGAAGAATATATTTAGAACTAATACCTGTGGCCTTTTTGTTATACATCATGATATTAATATTAGTATGCCAATAATAAAGATAAGTTTATTATCTTATTGTTTTATTGTTACACATATATATTAAGGTCATGTAGAGTGTTTTTCTTGCAATGTTCGTTATGTCTCTGGAATAGTTTCCTCCTATTTAAGAATGCTACAGTTCTCATGCTGAGAAAATATATAAGGAGAAAAGAATATTGTGTATGTTTGCTGCCTAGAGTTACTTATAAAAGTAATAAAGATGGGATAAAATATAATAAATAAATATAATAACCCTATAAAGGGCAACTTGCAGTTCTGATCATGCTTTCAAGAGTAATCAGCCTCTCCCCCAATAGTCTGCTTGTAGAGCAGGATGAGGAGAGAATAAAAAAGAACAAAGAGGTTGTTAAAAAATGAATCAGAGACAGAAAAGAGGTTTGTCAGCAAGAAGACAAAAAACACTGAGATGTTTCTCAAGATGGGTATAGTCACTTTTGGCTCAGGTTTTTGACCCAGTTTTAGAACAAGCCAACAATTGGTACCCAAACAGACTGACATCAGAGAATGCAGCCTTGAACCAGAAAAATAATGCCCACTTTCTTACAACAGAAGTTTTAGTTAGGTAAAAATATATCAATATATGAACTGATATCCACCCATTATATAAGAATATATAAAAAGCTACTAAAAATGATTTCACAAAGCCTATTTGTCTAGCTTGCTTTCCCGTCAGTACCTAATGTTCTAGGTGTACTATGGTTAAGTTCAGCTTCAGTTTTAAGCAATTCTTCACTGGAGATTTAATTTAAGAATCTCAAATTCTTTCCAGAAGTATAGCTGGAAAGTCACATTGTTGGTCACAATTACAGTACCAAGTATCGAATAGCTAAAGATTATCAAACGTGTTTTTGCATAAACTTTCATGGGCTGGATGTAACTTTCTCAGATGCATAAAAAGTTATCTCCACTAACAGTATCTACAGGCAAGGATGCAAAGAGAACAAAAATGTCAGCAGGAACTAAAAGCAAAATCATAGTATTTTAGTTCTATTTCTTTCTGAGGTTACTGCTTGTTTGCTTCCATCTCTCTCCCCATTTCCCATTTCTAAAGGGAGAAATTGTCTAATGGAAACGGTTTCATCCTCCAAAGCTTCTGTCATAATAAATGGGCTTAAAAGTACCTGTGACTTAATTGCATGTTTTGTCTTTGAACGCAAGGGTTTTCTATAACAAAAAAACTATCAGAGTGGCACCAAAATATCGTGGAGGATGGAGAGGATATTATTTTTGCAAATCTCCTGATTTAGACAGCCTTTTGCAAGAGGAATAAACGAAGTCATGCAGTTTAACGTAAGATCTAATTTGGTTCTAAGATGGAACAAAGTTATGATTTGGTTGTCATAACACTCTAATAGCAGGGAATAAATTTTTCAATGAAGGAACTTTGCTCAATACACAAGCTTACTGGAATTTAAACATTTATTGTAGTGCCTACCTGAATTTGAGACGCACAAGCACAACTCGATAGATGTGACTTGCTGGAAAATGCCTTCTTTGTCCAGATGACAGTAAAACAGGATGAATAGCTCCTACCACATATCCTTTATTATAATACTCCTCTACATTCTTTGCAATATCCAAAACAGAGCATATTTTGATAATTTCTGGATTTGAGGTAACTAAAAGGATTAAAATAAGAGAAACACTTGATATAGGATTCAAACATTTAAAATAACTTTTGGTAAAGATTGAGTTGTACAATGATATATTATCACTAGATGGGTTCACTATTCACTAGCTCACAGGTCGGCAACCTGCGGCTCCGGAGCCGCATGAGGCTCTTTGAGCCTTCCCCTGCGGCTCCTAGCCTCCATTTACAGAGAGAGACAGAGAGAGGCACTTGCTCTCTCTCTCTCTCTCTCTCTCTCTCTCTCTCTCTGTGTGTGTGTGTGTAAGTAAAAAAGAGAGTGGACTCACATGTTCTCCAAGAAGCTGAAAAGCTTTTGGGGCGGGGCTCCTCCCTTTGCTGCGTCTCTGCAGGAAGCAGGAAGGGCAGGAGAGAGCTAGCTAGCCCAGCTATGCTGACTCAGGAATTCTGGGAGTTGAAGTCCATGAGTCATAAAAGAGCTGAGGTTGCCTACCCCTGAGCTTGTTGGAGAACAGCTTGAAGCCAGCTTGCCAGGTGAGC